TCACCTTGTACACGTGGGTCTTCAAGCCATTAGAAGGGTGACATATGTATAGCAATAATTAGTATTATTATAATTATCATCCTAATTTATTCTCTCTTTCCGCAGTTCTTTCCCCCATAATTTTCTCTTTTCACCTTGAATTGTTCCTTTGGAATCCATAACATAGAGACCAACGCATTCATACTCTATTTGATTAATTAATATTACCTTGATGTCCGGCTTGTCAGCCGGAGAAATTGGAACATAATTTATTTTAGGGTAAACACTAATTATTAGTTTTTATTTTAATACTATAACATATCAGAAACATAATGTCTTGACAGACTTTGTGTGTTTGATTCAGATCTCTAGTCTAAAATTGGGATAAAATTAAATCTTGTCATTCATAGCGTCTGCATGGAATTCATATATGAGATTTAAAAATCTAAAGTTAGATTAAAAAAATCCAACTCAAATGCCAAGTTAGTATATATGAATAGAGCTGCGGATTGACTCTCGAAACACAGTCTCATCTATTCCTATGATATGTATGAATTGGCTAATCCAGCCACTGAACTAGCTCCAACTATCAGAGATGACATGATGGGTGTTAGTTTTGAGGGCAATAACGAGAAGGAGAAGATCAGCTATGCATAAAAGAGAGCTAGATATATTCTTTCCGGCAGAGGCCCCAAAGCATGAAATCCTCTTTCGTTATGACCAGACCAGAACGTGTGATGGATACATTGTTCGGCCAAGTTAGTTCATGCATGGAGTCTTGTGGCATGCATATTCATACGTATTTATATGAACAATTGCGCGAAGAAAAAACAACAATCCATCCACAGATTCTGCATCTTAATGTCATCCGACGTTCACGGTTCTGCGACGATACGGATAGCTTCTTTGTAACAAAAGTGGTTATTGTCCCATCATTCCATCAACAATGAAGGAGCGCAAACATGAAAAATAGAGTCCTTAGCCGAACAGAAGAAGCCCCCAGTGAGAATATTCACTTGGAAACCAAATTGCGCGCACAGAAGAGAAAAAAATAATCTCATACCACATCGATTAATTACAAGGGATTTACTGAATTTGTAAGGTTAGCTCAACGTTAATCATTAAATAAGCTAGTTGTACCTTATTAGACTTTTTGGGACTAAGTGGCCAAGCCCCCTATCCATGGCCTAGTGATTGGCCGCCCTTATACGATGCCTACACCCCCTTGGTATGAAAAATAGCTTTAAAGAACTAAGTTCGAAAACAAGGCTGCAAAATAGGGTGCCAAACCAACAAAACAGGCTTGGTACAAGCAAAAGGGTACCAAGGCGGGCAAGACAGTAGTGGTACCCCAAACATGAAATTTGGCTAAATATGAAGCCAAGTGGGTACCAAGCCGACAAGACTGGCTTGGTGGTCAGGCAACAGGGGGACAAGCCAGGTAGGCAAAGCAGACCTGATACCAAGAGATGGAATTTGACTAAGTATAGAGACAAAACGGGTACCAAGCCGACAGGACAGGCTTGGTATCAAGTTATCAAACCTGCCAAAAGCTAAGTATGAAATCTTATGGGTGGGGGCTCGTCGGCCATGATGTCGAGCTAAGAGGTTAGAACTTGATGATGACTTGGTGTAGAGCATCGGAGGAGGTTATATGGAGACTAAGTCTCAAGACGGGCTTGGTTGGCCCCAGGGTACCAAGTCGGCGGGGAAACAAGGCACTGACTTGATGAGATTGTAAAAACTAAGTATGGAAGCTAGCCAAACCGGCAAGGCTGGCTTGGTAGTAGGGGCCGACATGACTAGCTAGGTGGAAGGGGGTATCAAGCGGGAGAGACAACAAAAGCAGGAGCAAGATAGTAGCAACAAAACTAAGTGTGGAGTCTTGGGGGCTGCCGATGGTGTGGTTGAGACTTCATCATGGAGGCAACTCGTTAGCGGTTCCCAAGATGGGGTAAGGAGTCCTAAGGCGGTTGGAGCAACAGGTCGGCTAGCAGTTACCAGGGCGGTTACCAATGCAGTTAGACCTAGTGACTATAAATAGGAGACGAAGAACAAGCAAGAGTTCCACAACCAACCATTTGACACACAATGTCAAACTTTTATCTTTCCTCTACAAATTAGTCATAACCTAAGTTTTCGAAGCTCTCACTAAACCTTCATAGGAGTAGGTGTGATTAACGTAGTTTGTTACCAAACAACCATCAAAAGCATCAAACACCCTCGTTTGAACATTGTTCAAAGAGGTGTGAACCGTGTTTAGAATCGTTGTTCAAGAAGTCAAAGGTGCAAGCATTAATATCAAACACAAGAGATTTCCTCGCCGGAAAACAAATTGGCACACCCGATGAGACACTGTGTGTTTGATTTGAGGGCTCCGCGACTGAGAGAACAAGAAGGTGATATTCCACCTGGGTTTGTAAAAGAGCTAGTGGTCAGGTATGATCTTGACCAATTAGAAAAAAGTTGTGACGGTAATAGGGGCTAGAGATCAGTCATTACTGGCGCCATGTTTGGGTGTAAATGCCACCACTTTGTCTCTCCACCGGTCCTGGTGATAGAAATAAAATTAATGGAGTAGGCTATGGTGGGATACACCAAATTAATTGTATCTCAACTTGATTGTTTCCATACTCATCTAAATCGACTTTTGGATCAACTGTATGAGATTTAAGAGATAAATAAAAATAATTGTAAGAAGTTTTGCCAAATTTTGATAAAACCAGTGTTGAGATCAAAGGTTTTGGCGAAAGATGGTGTAGATCCACCATCAAGTGTTGCTACTAGGGATACGAGTATTCTGAACTTCAGTAGCCGGACTGCTCAGCCACGGTCAGAGAACTCGTTGTCTCCGGTGACAAGTTAACCACCTCTTCAACGTGGTAGTTGTGACGAGAATCCCGCTCCCACGTTCACCACTAACATAAAGCAATTGCTTATACAGACAGTTACATTAGAAACTGCCTCGGAGGCTACACTATACCTTAATGTGAAAATTGGTGGAGGGTCACTCACTACAGATATCTTCCCACAAGCTTGGACAAAACCACTGCCATCCATGCCCATGAAGCCTGGTGAATGCGAACCGTCAGGGGGGCTGGAAGGGTGGTATGAAAGCTTGCCACTTGACAAGTTGAAGGTAAAAATGTCAGGCTGGGGGGACACGTTGATGTCAAAATGAAAAAAGTGATTTGTCTAAGGACTCACCACATTTTTCAACTAAGTGTGGGGAGAATGGCATATCTCCAGTTCCATGCAATAGGCAGAGAGGCATGTCATCAAATGTGAAGAACGAAGTGAGTGGCAAGTCTAAGCGGGTGTTTCATACCCGTGCCACCCATGATTTTCATCACTTTGAGAGCGTGTCAAAGAGTAGGCAAAGAGGCAAGTTCGTGGCTAAGGCCCCGCATAGCATGCCATCAACAACAAATAGGGGACCATATAGACATTCCCAAGAATCCACAACAAATCCGAGACACACATGCTTGTAGTAAGCATGATAGTTTATCCAAGTGTGGCAAGGGGAGTGTGTTGAATAATATACAAAGAAGTCAGTCTATACCTCACAACCCCCATGGCATGCCTAACATCAATGGCAGGCAAGATGGCATGAATAAGACATCTCGCACACACCAACCAAACATGGTCCTACAGAGGGCCAAGAATTGTTTGTGCTAAGTGTAAGGATCGTGAAGGCATAATGGTTGGACAAGGTGAAGTTGGCCACACGGGTGGTCATAAATTTGTTAAACCCAAATACCCATCTTCTCAACCATATGAGAAGAGTAAGCATGTGTCAGAAACAAGTGGTAGTCCCTTTGATGTGTCAAAAGAGTTGAGAATGCCTACTGTACCACCTAGAATGAGGCAAGCACATCAGGGTCAATGTCAAAACCTAACATATCTAGTAAGGTGACTAAGGCAGAGGATCATAGGACTCCTTGCAAGCCCACCAAGACAGGACAAGTGGAACGGATACTATCCATTGTTAAGTTGGATTTCGGATACCCATGGTAATACCATTCCAGTTAAAGCAATATTATTATATCTAAAGTTCAACATGTATGTCTTCAATTATAACGCAAAACATAGATAATAAATAGCGGAAATCAACATGGTTATAGTATTTCGTAATAGGAAAAACGGTCAATCCTAACATATTGATTAATCATTAACATAAAATGAAAATATAATACTATATCAAACAATTCATCTTTAAATTTAAAACATCTATATAGTAAATAGCTAACATAAACTTGCCGACTGGACAAAAACCTCGTTTGCTTCTAAAAGATTAAAGTCTACTAGACTACAAATTATTCAAACACACTAAGTTACACCGATATGCATCAAAATAATTCAAATGTAAAAAATGATATGCAATAACCTATTACTATCTCATCAACAATTTTGGTAAGTTGGTCATCTCCAAGATGATTCAGGAGTCAGGAGAGTAAAGACGACGACATTGAGAAATTGAGAAAGTAAATTGTAGTTGAGAGGGTTGGAAATTTCAAGGGTTTTGATAAATATAATTACATTTTAATCATATTTTTTTATTTAATTACCTTCATACTAATATTAATTTATCAAAATATATTTATAATTTTTTTAAGTATCGCAAAATACTTTGATGGGGCGGGTTTGGGTATAGATATAGAGCGGGGGACGCTAAAATCATACCCGCCCCACACCTATCAAGTTCTTTGCGGGTCTTACTCATTCCCGCCACATACCCGGTCAATGCGGGGATTCCCCGCGTTGATTGGGTCGGAGGTGGGCGGATACCCGCGACCATGAGTTTGCTTGCTATCCTAGGAGTATCTCCGTATCAGCCGGTCTCCGTATCAGCCGGTCGATTCCCTTCTTCCGGTTGCTCGTCGGCAAACTCTACATATTCCCCAAACAAAAACAAAAGGAGGGAAGAAGGAGAAAAACACTTTCGATCGATCGATTGGAAGAAACAAAGGAGAAGCTAGGGTGTCGCCTATACATGTCGCCTATACATACAAGGATGGGATAGTTACTTTAGTGATTTTTATCTCTCAATATTAGCCGGACAATAGTCTGACAGAGAGTTTGTCATTCATTACAACTAGCAATGGCTTCCTACACGACCACATTTGCTGCATCACTAATGGCGACGGTTATTGTCCTAGCCGGCGGGGGGCATTTGCGCACTTCCCTTGGAGCCCCAATTTGCGGCGACACTCCGGCGACAGATCAGACCAGGTTCGCGGGTTATGCACGTGGCGTTCTTGACATTCTGGTGAAGGACACGGCAAGTCGGCTCCCAGATAAGTTCACCTATGACGTGACGATTCCAGTAGAAGGCGGTCCCCGTTCCGCTTCCGGCACCGGCACTTGTTATGATCAGGGACACAAAACTGCCAAGGATTGCAGGAAATGCCTCTCACAACTGCAGCCGCATTTGGAGAAATGCACAACCACCTCTTCGACCGCAGGAGCTTTCTATAAAGGAAGGTGCATGATTCAATTCTGGGAAAACAAGTACTAGTTAGTTGGATCACCAAATACATCGATTTATCTTTCAACGTCTGGGATATGGCATTCTTACTTGCAATACAACACGATGTGTGTTGGCTTTGAAGTTGTAGTTTCTGATTCCGTTTCATTTCCAATAAAGTTTCCTTCAGCTGTTCGCTTAGTAAGGCCCATTTTCACCTTTTGCTTTTATAGTGATGAAGACAATGTTACGGAAAAGGGTACGTACGTACACCAGAGGTGCAAGAAACAGTATCGAAAAATGCAGCATAAGAAGTGAAGAACCCAAAAAATAAGTAGCTTAACCGCCCAAATTTGCACAACAACCCATCAATAGATTCTATGTTTTCACATTCCAGTTCGAAAAGAAACCAATTCCTATTCTTTTAAATGCTCGAAAACCAAATCGATAATCAAGGTTCTGCAACGACACAGCGAGGCAATTTGTTGCGCAAGTGTTTGTGTCCTACAGCAGAAACTAATATCTACTGTAGAAGCAAGCAGACACGAAAAAAATGTCTCTTTAACAAGAACAATTCAGCAACAAAATAGTGCAGACAAAGGAGATCAAGTGACCAACTAAGATTAATACTTCTCATCAAACCTTATGTTTATATGGCAGGAGAGCACTAAATTGATGCAACTGTAACCTAAAGTCACAAATCCAGGACTGGATACAAGATTTCTAATTCAGCAAACATCATACAGAGCGAACAAATTCGATCCAAACAAACAATTCAATGTGACGTAAAACAGCAACTAAACAACAGAAAACTACCGCCTGTGAAGAAATGACGACCTAACTTCAACAAATATCACCAACAAGGGGAAACAGACACCCTAGGAAACCAGGGAAGAGCACGACCGATCAAACAACCAACCATCGTTGGCAAGGAAAAATGAACGAGACTGGTCAACCGAGGTTGATTCATGAGATTAGGATACAAAACCAAGGCAGCATGTAAGTTGTAACACAGCGCAGAACTCTTAAACAGATGGTAAATCAAAGTATAATTTCTACTTTCTTCAGGCAAAAGTTCATTTGCACGGGGGAGAGCAAGCACAGTTACAAACAGGTGAAACATGTATCCAGTTTCTTTTCAAACAACAGAGAAACCAATATAATCTATTAACTCAGAAACTTGAGCTTGAAACAATATGTAGCTTCAGGATGAAATGACAGAACAATTACCAGCTAACCATAAAACTGAATCCCTAATTAGGTAATACAATTATCTATCGGGGGACTAAAATGCAGCAATGATTGCAATCTCGAAACACCCTTCAATCACAATCCGACATAGCTCTAGGAAAAACACCCTGTCATACAATCTAAGCAGCATTTCACTAATACCAAATATTCGATGCTCCCAGCACACATTACTTCAGCAGGACAATTAAACAAACCACACAAGCATTAAGGAAACTGATCACCCATACCAGAACAATATGGCCAACAACAGTATCACATTCAAGCTAATTGCGAATTCAAAATCGTCCAAACTGCAGAAATCAAAACATCAACATTCTTAAGCGGACGGTGAAGCAGAATCCTCTTAACAAACCAAAAACCCCTTAGAACACGAACTACTAAGTTCCACTTTCCCTAAACAGCAAAATTCATGAACTCAGAATCAAAACATCATCCATCCTCGAACCATAAAACGAAACGACTGTAACAACATAAGCAACCCAGCAGAGACCTTTCAACGGTAAGACTTCTGGAACCTTGAACGAGCACCACGACCACCAAACTTCTTGGGCTCGCAACGCCTGGGATCAGCGACCAGCAAAGTCCTGTCGTACCTGATCAAGAGGTCCTTGATCTCCTTCTTGCTCTGCTCGTCGACGAACTTCTGGTAGAAAGCAACGAGGGCCTTGGCAATGCTCTGACGGATGGCGTAGATCTGAGAGGTGTGACCGCCTCCCTTGACGCGGATCCTCATGTCGACGCCGGCGAAGCGGTGTCGCCCGAGGAGGAGGATGGGCTCGACGGCCTTGAAGCGGAGGATCTCTGGCTCGACGAGCTCGATTGGAGTGCCATTGAGCTTGATGAGCCCCCTTCCACGCTTGCAGTGGGTGACGGCGACCGCGGTCTTTTTGCGGCCGAAGCACTGGACTGACTCGGTGGGGGTCGGAGCCGCAACTGCCGCCATGTTTGGTGTTCTCTGGAAGGAAAAGCAGGGAGGGAGCGAAGAAACCCTAATTACAGAGTGCTATAGCTGCTGCAGTCTATGGAGAAGGCGAAATGGAGGCGTCGTTTATGTTTTATGTAACCGGGTGGGGACTAGGGTTTTATTAGATGGACGAGGGTAGAGTGGCTGAAAGAGGCCCAAAAATGCTCCACTTCATAGAAAAGCATCGGCTCAAGCCCAACACAAAACAACCGAGCCAAACCTTTGTAGCCCAATGAGAAGTTGTTAAATTGGCCTGGCAGTCTGGCACACTATGTTTGAGTTGAGTGAGTAAATTTGAACAATGAAGGCAAAATACACTTGTATAGCCATAACTTTCACGTTTGTGACAAATATAGCCATAATTATTCGAAAATTAAAAATAACCAATTTCGTCCATCTCTTTAACGGTGTTACTTAACAATCTGACTATACTGACAGAATATGCTGAGTTGGCGATTTATGGTCCCCACCAAGCCGATGTGGATTAACAAAAAAAATTAAAATAAAAAAAATTATTATTTATCTCATAATTTAGTTTTAAAAAAAAATTGCAATCTAATATCATTCTCCCCTCTCCCTTCCTCCTGCTGTACATCTTCCCAGATCCAAATACTCTTCTTCCTCTTCCACTAATTCCTTCTCCGCCCAACATAAACCAAAAAACCATAAACCATTTTCATTCTCTTCCGCTAATTCCTTTTCCGGCCACAGAGGAAAGATCCAAAGTTCCTTGTACCCAAACCCAAACTCTTTCCTGATTTTCGCCCCGTCTCTGCAGAATCCAACAAGGTGTTCTAGCGGAATTCCCAAATCGGGTGAGCTCAGCTCCTCCGTCTACACTCAGCAATGGCGGTCTCTGCTTTCAAATGTACTTCAAGATGAAGACCCACTCGCCCTTCCCCACTTCCTCGTCCCTATCCGATAAGGAGTCCAAGTCCACGCCACCCCGCCCCCTGCCCTCCATCGTTCTAGAAGCGACAGTGTCGTCGCAAGAAACCCCCGACCACCAAAAGCATCGACTACAATAAATGTTGAGGGAGTTTGAATCTCGAATCAGAGCGACGCCTGATCTGGGTTGAGCATGCTGAGCACGTACGGTGGGGACGAAACAGATTCGTCGGCTGGAGCTCCCGTTCTTCTCGAAACTAGAGGTCGGGTTTGTGTCGACGCGACGACTTGGAGGTCGATTATGGCTGAGCTTTCGTGGTTGCCGGAGTAAAGGTTTGACCGCCCTAAGCACGACTGGATCTACCGATCCTCGACGGTGATGATGTGGACGCGACGAGGAGCTGGACCGCGACTGGATCTAACGGCGCTCGCGTCGACGGCCACTTCTGTTGCGACTAAACGTCGCCGGGATCTGGTTTGGGGAGACGGATTGAAGATTGCGTCAGAAGGATGGAGGGATTTTGAGGAAAAGAAGGCTGGGTTTGGATTTGGGATTTTTTGTTATGGTTGGGGGAGGATTCAAGCGAGACAGGTTGGGAAGATGGGAAAAGGCAGGTTTGGGAAATCAACGAAGGGTTCTTGATCTGGGTTTTTGGGATCGAGATTTTTTTTTTAGGATCTGACGATGGCAGAGGAAGGCTGAGAGAGAATGCACAGCAGAGGGAAGGGGAAAGGTTAGAAAAAATATTTTTTTTAAATTCAAAATTAATTATTTTTATAACTCAAAATGACGTGGCAATAATATGATGATTGGTTGTTGACATAGGTGCTGATTTGGCATCCTAATCAGCCTAACGTTAACCTAACCAACGGAGTTTTTAACACTGTTAAAGTTTCTAACGGATTTGGCTAGATTTGTCACACTACCCTCAGTTTTTTGGGCTATTTTTGGTTTTCGAATAATTATGGCTATATTTGTCACAAACGTGAAAGTTATGGCTATACAAATGTATTTTGCCAACAATATGAATGTGCAAAAAACTTCAGTTTAATCTGCCAACATCTGTAATTTTACTACATGGTACAAATAAGAACGCATCAAAACTCAGACTGATAAATCAGGCAAATCGGTGGTGTATCTAATTAAATGAAATCTTGATTTCATTTTTTTTTTTAATATTATTCAAAATTTGAGCTATTTTGTTGGTCTCTTATTGTATAAAATGCTAGATACTTGTATGATGTATCTACAATCAGAAGTATTTATACGTGACTCAATAAATTTTGTTATCTTCAAGCATGGACGGATTGGCTCCATTTCATGATACTTTGACTGATTATTTTTTGTTAAATAAGTGTTAAGATAATCAGGAGTTAGGGGTGGCATTCGGTCGGTTCGGTTCATACGGAACAAAAATAATGCATACCGGATTCCCGAATTTCATCAAACCTCAAACCAAATTCGAACCGAATTATGATTCAGCTTGGTTGGTTCAAACTAAATTATAATTCGGCTCGGTTTTTCATACAAAACCGAACTTGTGAGGTTAGCTTGTATGTTCTCTCTTTTAAATTATTTTTCACCACAAATGTAAACAATAAATATGCACTTATATGTATCATCAATGATAAATCAAACATTTCAACACATAAGTCATAAAACACTAAGATGATTCAAATATTTAAGTCTCATAATAAGTACAAACATAAAAATCCACCATTTTGGAGCTTGCTATTATAGTAATTCAGTTATTCGGTTCGGAATTCAGAAATTCAGTTCGGTCAAAAGGATTCTGATTTTCGAAATATGTCCTTTACTCTTCCGAATTTCGAACTGAATAACATTAATCGGTTTCGGTTCAGTTAGGTTCGGTTCAATTTTACCAAACCGTATGTCCACCCCTATCAGGAGTGACGTGGTGTCTACATGTTTGCCACATACATATACGTCAATTGAGTCACTGATTTATATGTATTATATTATTAAGATTAACAGTCATCCATATAGTTAGGTCGTCATCTGACTCATCTCAATAATTTAATTTACAAGAATTTTTTTTAATTTTCATTTGTACTTGTCCAAATGATTTTGATCATTTTAAGATATTGTCTCAGTATTATTACTCGAGTATGCTTAGTGGTCGTTTGGTTTTCTTATAGTTAAATAAATGTGTTGTAATCAACAT